AACTGTAACTTCTGGGACTCCTCATGCAGTTGCAATCGCAGGTAGGCGTGGATCATGTCCAACTTCGTAAAGGACAGTCTCCCCCGCCAACTTTGCATATAGGTCCTCTATGTGAGGGATGGGATGTTTATCCAGCTGTGAGAATCAGTCTACCTCTTGCTTAAAATCCCCACAAAGGCGAGCTGAGCGATCAAGCTTCACAATCGGAATGACCGGTGCTGCCCATTCTGCAAACTGCTCTGGTTTGATGATTCCTTTACTCTCCAGCTTCCTGATTTCTGTCTCTACTTTTGTCCACAATGCAAATGGCAGTGGCTGGGCCTTGCAAACTCTTGGAATTGCTTCCTGGTCAAAATGTAAAGTGGCTTTGTCCACTTTGATTGTCCCTAGCCTTTCCTGAAAAACTCCTAGGTACTTCACCAGGACTTCACTGAGGCAGCCATTTTCTAATTGTGAAATGTTGAGCCAATTCAGGTGAATCTTTCACAACCAATTCTGTCCCAATAGGCTTGGGCCTGAGCCTTTTACTACCATCAGTGGTAAGTGCACCAACTGCTTCTCATAGGAGACCGGAACCAAAGTTGTGCCCTTAATCTGCAATGGCTCCCCAGTGTATGTTCTCAGTCCGGCTGAGGTCTTGTGCGAACTTAAGAGTTGGAATCCCAAATAAATCTGGTTAAAGACTGATTCTGCAACCATAGATACAGCTGTGCTGGTATCGATCTCCACAGGAACTGGATGACCATTTAGCCAAACATTCATTTTAAATTGGTTCCAATTTGGATGTTGCTAAGCAATTGAATTGTTCCAACCTACACGTAGGAGGAGTTTCCAGGGTGTGCACTCTCCTGGGTACCACCCAATGAGTTCTCTTACTCAAAGCAGGCCATGTAGGATTCCTTCGTTGTCTCGAGACCATATACCAGCAGCAACTACAATGGCTTGCTGGCCCAGATCCCGAAGAACCTTTTAGCCACTTGGCCGAGGCTCGGCTTTATCATGGTGTTCTGCTGTGGGCTGGCCTAGGGTCCCCCTGCTCAGGATATGTCCTGTGTGAGGCTCTCTGTGAGTGTCTATACACAAGTGGTGTTCCCCAAGCTTAGTTGGGCAGGTCAGGGAGTCCACTTCCATTGGGATGCCCTGTAGCTCCCATGCTCCACTTACTGCATTTTCCAATGATAAAGCCAGTTGTAGTGCCTGTTTGAAGTCTAGTTAGGCTTCAGCTAGTGGATGCTTCTGCATGGTTTTGTCATTAAGCCCACATACCAAATGGTCTCTCATTCAGGATTAACCCAAAATTGCACGCCACTACGAGATATCTTTACCTCGTCTAAAATCCCGATACGGATTCCCCCGGTTCTCTAACAGCTGAATAAAACCAATACAGTCTCAGAATTACAGGTGATTTGAGGTCGTAATATTCCTTAACCAACTCGGTCAACTTTGGAAGGTTTTAGTGTCTGAAAATTAAGGCCCTTATAACCAAAAATGCCGCAGGTCTGCAAGCAGTCAGGATGATTACTCATTGCTTCTCAACTGCCCCAATGTCATTAGCCCAGAAAAAAAATACTGCATTCTTTCAGCATACTGGGCCCGGTCTTTAACAGCAGGATCAAATGAGTAAGCTTCCCAAATAAAGGCATGATGCCAGAAATGCTTACCCCAACACCAAGATGATTGTTGAGTGAATATTCTTCAGTCATGTACTGTTTTCTCCCATCGCCACTGAAATAACTGCATAGAGGTTGGTATCCAGTCACCAAATCACTCTTTACTTACTTGTACACAGTACACTGGCTGTGGCCAGCCAGCTTGGAGTCAGTCACCTTAACTGAGGAGATTCTAATCTCCCGATTATATTGTTCAGCCAGGGCTTTCCTAATTGGTTCAAGTTAAGAGCCCCAATCAAGTACCTTATAGTTGACGTCCACGGTTCCAATCACTACAGCATGGGAGGGATATATGTTTGTATATGAAAGGATCATGGGAAGGGAAGCCAGTGTCAGGGCCAACAAAAAGTGGACAAGGTTGTCAGAGAGAGAATTTAGAAACACAGAGGGAAAGATAACTTTGATGTGGCAAAACATTGGAAACAGAGGAGATGATAGGATAACCTGCTTAAAAACCCTTTTATAGAATAGAACCTTATGGCATTGGATGTGATGAACATCCAAACCACCTCTAACAACATCAGCCTCATTTTGTAGTTTCTTCTATCATAGTCACCAATAATGGCTATGCCAACCAGAAATCTCAGGTCAGACCCCAGAAATTCTGATAGAGCATTTGTTAAAGGACTCATGTCAGTAATAACTTGTATTTATATACAGCCTTTAACAAAAAAATGTCCTAAGGCATTTTGCAGTAATATTCTAAAACAAAAATTTGTAATCGAACCACAAAAGCCAACATTAAAGCAGATGACTAAATTCTTAGTTAAATGAGAAAGTTTTAAGGAGCATCTAAAAGGAGGAAATAGCTAGTGAGAAGTTTTAAATAAGGAATTCCACAGCTTGGGAAGTAGTCAAAATATATAATTACTTATCATGGGGATATTCAAATTAAGAATGCCCGAGAAACCAGAATGAGAAGGAAAATGGAAATGTGCTAATGCATCCCCCAAAAATGGTGCAGGCTGAAACTGGCAGATTTGTACAGTAGATACAATAGCTATGGATCATAGAAAGGCAAGTGCGTCCTCATACCAGTACAATAAGATGTCAGTTGTTAAGGTACAATCAATCAGTTTAAGGCAAAATTAAAAAAGAGGCACGATCTCTTCAGAATGCATGGAGCTAACAAACATATGCTGAAGATAACAGAACTCCTCCACACCATCTGGCACTGCAAGCACTCCTATTGTTCTTGACTCCATTTCAGATTAACGGCCCATTAAAAGCTTAAATTTTAGGTAGCAATCTCCAATGGTCCTATAGATGACCTCTCATTTAGAAATTCTTGTTTACACACAATTATCCCGAATGTCGTAGAACTGGAATCAGCAATACTCAGAGTAGACTAATTCCATGAAGGAACCACAAACAGCAATAGAGCATTCTACTTACACAGGCAAAGAATATAATTCCTGTTTCAGGCAAGACCATATGGCTGACAATTCCTGAACTTAAAACAAGAAGGTGGGTATCATAATTTACTCCACTGTTTAGGAACCTATTTGACACCTACCCCTTGCTTGCTTCTTACACAGTAGCCTCCAAAGGAGGTTGAGAGGTGACCTTAGAGAGATTAATAAAATCATGAGGTGAATAGCAAAGGTCTTTTCCCTCGCATGGGGAAGTTCAAAACTAGGGGGTTAAGGTAGGACAAGAAAGATTTAAAAAGGATCTGAGGGGCAAATTTTTCACACAGAACATGGTTCACATGTCGAATGAACTGCCAGAGGAAGTGGTAGATACAGGAACAGTTCCAACATTTAAAAGACATTTGGATAGGTATATAAGTAGGAAAGGTTTAGACTGATATGGGCCAAACACAGGCAAGTAGGGCTAGTTTAGTTTGGGGTAACTTGGGCATGTTAGCTTAGTTTGGGCATGAACTGGTTGGACCAAGGGGTCTGTTTCTGTACTCTATGACTCCATAACGGCATTCTTTTTCATTTCATTGCTAGAGTATCACCAACATTCCTCAAAATTTCCTTCCCTTAGATGTCAGACATGCAGGTTCCACTCGACATCTTCCTATTCCACTAGAAGTTTGTTCTGCCTTCCAGCGTGTGCATTCTCATTTTGTGTATTTTGTCACTAACTCTAACCCACTCTTTCTGCATCACAGAGTGCAGACCTATGTGGCCACAGTGTTGAATGCAGTCATAAAGGACTTGGAACAATATCACCATTCATTCATCCTCACTGTGCAAACATCCTCAAACTCCCTTTCTAACAACACTGTTGGTATATCTGCACCACATGGACTGCGGCAGTTCAAGGTGGTAACTTACTACCTTCTTCTACAGGAAGAAAAAAAAGACACTTTGCATACACGGGTGAAACAGTATGTAAAGGGGAAGAGCTCAGAACATGCACACTCTAAACCTGTGTAATGAGCACATGTAATCAGTGGTGTCTCCATAGCTGTGAGAATTAAGGGATCAGGGCCTAGGGCTGAACAGCGTCTTTGAATGAACCAGCTTCATACACGTGATTCATGGAATCTTAACACAAAAGGCAGTGATTTGGCCCAATTTAAACTAAAATACTGCAGATGCTGGAAATCCAAAATAAAAAAAGAGAAAATGCTTGAGAAACTCAAGTCTGGCAGCAACTGTAGAGGGAAACAGAATTACCATTTCAAGTCGGTTATGAATTCTTCAAAAACATTTGACCCATTGTGCCTTTGCACTGAACACCATCTGTAATGCTTCTGCCCATTTCACCATTTTGTTCTCGTTATCCTGAAGGCTATACCCGATTCATACCTTGCTAATTTTTTGCCAAGTTTTGTATCATTTGCAAATGTCAAAATATTGTAGCAGAAAACCATTGCAAATCACTCTGAAAAACATATATCCACTATTATCCTTTGCTCTCTGTTACTTGGTCAACTTTGTATTCGTGCCTCCAAATTTTCCTTAATTTCACAGACTTTCATCTTTAACAAGCCACATGGCATCTTCTCGAATGCCTTCTGAAAAATCAAATTATAAGAAATGTGGTGAGGAAAAGCCAGGGAACTACAGGACATACCCTGAACTACCTGTTGCCTGCCACTTCAACGCACCACCCTGCTCCCTGGCCAACATCTGTGTCTCCGGCTTGCTACAGTGTTCCAGTGAAGCCCAAGGCAAGCTGGAGGAACAACACCTCATTTTCCGCTTGGGGACCCTACAGCCCTCCAGACTCAATATGGAGTTCAATAATTTTAGGGCCTAAACTCTCCCATGTCCCAGCCCCCCATCCCACACACCAGGCCTTGTTACTACATAGCCTGTCACTACACAACCCCTGTTGTTAGTCACTAACAGTCCCCATTAACAACTACTCACCCTCCCAGGCCGATCGTTAGCATCTCCTTTGTCTGTCCAACTGTCTTTCTCTCTTTTTGGGCTCTATCCTATCGTTTACTCCCTACCCCACCCACCTCCCTATTTTCTGCATATAAACTGACGTTTTCCCAGCCACCATCAGTTCTGAGGAAGGGTCACCATACCCGAAACACTAACTCTGTTTTCTCCTCCACAGATGCTGCCAGACCTGCTGAGCTTTTCCAGCAACTTTGTTTTTGTTCTCTTTGATTAACGTCTGCTTTTCCAAATGGAAGTCTATTTTATTCCTGAAAACTGTACCACCATTGATATCGGACTGACTGACCATGGTTTCTTCCTTTATTCCTCTCCCTCTTCTGGAATAATCTTCAATTTACTAAGCATTAGTCGCCATCTATCTTCAACAATTTATTTCTAGTTAAATCTTTTCATTTTTCTCAGTAATCAGTGTATTTGATCTGGACCGGGTGGTACTAGCCTTCAGTACGGCCACTTTTAGTATTTCTTTGCTATCCCACCCACAACTTTGTTAACCTTCATGGAACCCATTTCCTTTATGAAAATATATGCAGAGTAATTATTTAATATTTTAACTATGCCCTCTGCCTCAGCATAAAGATTTCACTTTGGAATTTTAAAAGATCCAATATTTTCCTTCATTGGCTACTTACACTATATCCATATGATATTTTAGTAAACAGTTAGTAACCCTGACAACAAGTGTTAATGTTATTAGATATTACAACTTTGAAACTCAAATAGTGGTTTTGTGGGCTCTGGGTTACACTTTTGAGAGGGCATATTTGCATTAGAGGGCATGGTGAACCATATGGAGAGGGGCTATTAAATATTTGTTCATGATCTACAATTTACTCTTCCCCAGGTTAGTGACAATGATGAACTGCAGCCAGTGGCAGTACACCCGAAATATTCCCTCTCTCAGATACTAGTTTATCAACATTAGTGGCATCAACCACCAAGTCAACCATAAAGCTAGAAAGCCTACAGTGATTGTCATGGCCTGGCAATAATAATTATTTGCAGCCATGCTTGAGATCACAAATGAGATCAGCCACAAGCATTTCAAGGGTCCCTATGTGACCTAAAGAAGTCTTCCTTCACCTCTTGAATCGACTGACAGGGAATATCTTACCATCAGTCAATTTAGTAAATGTCTTAAGTATAGCACTATGGGTTGATCATTTGTGTGACAAAGTAATTTACTACAATAGTGTGCCTGTTCTGGAACTGAATTATTGACTTTATCCTACTGTACAGACAGCCATTCAAGGAGGGGAAAAAGAAATGTAGAGGTTATAGAGATAAAGTGAGTCCAGGGTTCAAGACACCTACGCAGATCTGGACAGGAAAGTGAAGTGGGAGGGGTAGGATCCTGTTGTTCAGGGACGTGTGAGTACCAACAACATAGGCAGGATGGGGAATGGGGCTGGGGAAGGGGGAGCGGGGTGGTAGGCACACTGAAGAGCAGATCCGTGAAGTGTAATGATATCTGCATTATGAATATTGAATTAATTGAATATATAAAGGCACAGGTAGATATGCTCTTGTTAGTCAAGAGGCTCAAAGATCGAGGCTAGATGGGAGTGTGGAATTCAGAACATGAACAGTTTAGTATTAGCTAAATAGCAGAGTAGACTCTGTGCAAATCTCCTTTTCAATCTAGTTGTTTAAGCTATCTAGTTGTGCATTGTCTCGTTAAGGTTATACTGTTTTTAAAATTTCCTATTCAGATGTTGACAGCACATGAGCAGACAATTATAATTATGTTTCCTACCCCTGCCCATCAATATTACAGTGTAGATTACATGTCTCCCCTGTAATGTAGAAGTTTGGAGCATCTGCATGTGTTCTGTTAAGCTTTGCCAGGTGCAATGAATGAAATCTATTCTCTGTTATTCAATTGCTATAAATAGATTATTCCATCACAGTAGCAAGAGCAGCTTAGAATTAAAGCCTGCATCTACTGACAACTACAAGCTATATCTCGCAAAATTTATGACTGTTCAGTCAGTCAGTGTGGATAGCTCATTAGTAACTAATACTACAATTTAAAAAAAAAAATCCCTGGAAATTAACTCCTTGTAACAAGAATGTAGCATTACAAGATAACAGGGAATTTGTTGTAAAAAATAGCTGAGGTCATACAAGTGGAAGGCACCAATGCTACAGTTCTCTTGACCTTGAGGGAATTTTAACTAGTTTACAATAGAATGCATAAAATAAATCTCTTGGCAACAGAACAACAAACAGGGAATCTGTGGGTCAGATTGGATTCTATTTGCTATTTATTGTGTGCTGTGAAGTATTCAATTACAGTCTAATGCCCATGTTTACATGTTCATTCTGGGTCTTGGAATATACGCTGCGCATTTGCTGTATCACCGTACTGTATAACTTTGTATAGTGATGTTTATTGCATAGGTCAGATGAATTGGAGCTCTGAGGTCATGTGTCACATATACATGTTCCAGTTTGCAACATGGAGAAAATGCTTCATGACAACTTACTAATCGGACAACAATCAGTACTGTACCCACTTCAGAAACAAAAAACTGGAAAGTTAAAATCTTACTGAAATGTCAACCTGCTCTTTTTTTAACTTCTCAGATCCTGAGCACCTTACCCAGCATTTCCAGTACTGTTTTTATTCCTGGTATGTAAGATTGATCTGTTCATCTCGTTAGAAGGTCATGGTTGAGGCAAAAGATAGAGGATTCAAACACATTTACCACATCTACAAGATACTTCCCTAACATTTCACAGCTGGTGCTCAAGAATATCATACTTTGTATTATTCACATAGCATGTTCTGATGTCTGCCATGATGCAGGTGAATGGCGAATGGTAGCTAGGAAGCGAAGCAGCCCATCATCAAATCCTGATAAGGCCAATCTCCCAAGTTGTGAAATGGTTGGAGACATATATATTGATAAAAATAAGCAGAGATGCTTGTTCTCCTGACTGGTTTCACTCTCCTGTGCTATGCACTGTACTTGATGCAGTCATTGCACCAATTATCCAACACTGCATGGCATAGATGCTTCATGGGGTCACTGGGTTTATTTTCCAACATTTCCATACACTTTGAAAAGTTTAATAGTATCTTATAGCAAATTTCATCAAATTTATTTAGCAGGCACTGAAGCAGCCCTCCATCCTTGAGGTGCTGTGCAGCTTGATGGTTACCTGTGTTAAACATGACTTGGCGTGGCTCAGGAATCACACTATAACATGATAGTTTCTGCTGCAGTTGCAGGCAGTGGTTTAGGGAGGATTCACTGGCCTCTGTTTTCTTGAAGTCTGGTTCGCAGCCCAGCAGAACTTGCAGCTTCTCCTCACCATTGCTTTATAACTTAATAATCCAGGATCGTACTAACTGAGTAGTTTAGGTCGTTCCAACTTAAAATTTTAAGAAGTACTTTTCTTTCTCAATATTAACCACCTCCAACTAAAATCTCTTATCTGAGCAAGTTCCAAACATACGTAGAAAAATCATTGCTTTAAGTGTATATTAAATGAGTGATTGCTTACAATATCCTCTATGATTTCTTTAATGGCAGCCACAAGAAGAATAAACAATAGCGGGACCAACGTTGTGTAACGGCCAGTAGGAGAAACATCAGGGATTTGCTAAACAAAAGAGGAAAATAGGATGTAAATATACAAAATACCAACCTGCTGAATGTTACAATTGTTTTTATATGCACACACAATGTTACAAAACACTAGGTTTGAATATTTGGTTAAATTTACATTCAGGGATTGGCTCTAGAAATCAGGCACAGTAGAGGCATCAAGAGTAGTCAGATCAGAGCTGGGCACTGTCAATCCATACACAAAATCAGACCTTGTGTTTTCAAATAATGTCAACAAGCAACAGCAATTAGAAAAAGTATAGATCGACAAAGGAGAGATCTGTGGTGACAACCAGAGGTGATGACGCAAGGGTTGGGGGTGGGGGGCAGGTGACGGCTGAGCAGCGGGTTGGTGCAATGGCAGGAAGTTCTTGATAGATACTGGGGCCCAGATTTTCCAATGACCAGACAGTCATTGTTCATCTGGATCTGTTCATGGGGCCTCTGCAGAATCGCCATCATAGCGAACTTCAAAGAAATCGTCTGGGAAATTGAAGATTTCTTCTGGCAATTCCTCTGTATTTGGAACTCCCCAAAAGTTTCCATTTAAATTGGAGATTTCAGAAAGTTCCAACAAAATTAAGTAAAATATTTACTCTGGTGAAGTTAAATTATTACGTACACAGTGCAACTCCTGAGTAACAATTTAACAGACCTCTTGTTTTTACTTCACCACTCTATCCCCCACCTCCCACCCAACTACACCTCCCCCAGACCGATTACACACCTATCCTCTTTCCAAACCCCCTGGACCTAAGAACCCTGTTCTGCTTCAGAAGTGAACCTAAATGTTGACAACCCGATCCCCTGCCATGGGGTCGAAACCCCAATCCATTCCATTCTGCCTGGACCGGATGGGCACGGACATGTGCAAGCGCACGCACAGTTCCACTGAGCCTAATGTCTCCCACCCACCCTAAAAACTGCATCACTTAATTGGTTCTTAGACCCTACCCAACTGGCACTCAACTACCCTTCCAATTGGTATCCTCCCCATGTGGCCCCAGAGCATAATACCCCCTGGAATCCCCTTCCATATCCAGTTGGCATTCAACTTATCAGGCATCCTGGTACTCACCTACCACCTTAGCCTCCAAGAACTTGAATATCACAACTACCTATGTATTTACCTTTTTGAGAGAAAGTGTCAAAGCAGTTGTCTGTACCTTTAAATTTCAGACTATGAAAATAGACGTGGTTTTCCTTCCTCCGACAGTTCTGCATTACCAAAGAACTGTCAAAATAGAAACTTAGTTCCTCACTTTTGAAGCGGCGCTGATCAGAATTTCCTCTCAATAATGTGAATCTCCCTATTTCAAAAAAAAAAAAGGGGGCTGGAATGGCGTCTTCCTGAGCTTGCCAATCCTCGGAATACCTGGCAAAATGACGGAACCACGTAACAGCAGCTCTACTCAGATGACACTGTTGGACAAGCATAGGAGGAGGAGGGTGTACTCAACTGCAACAAAGACTGAACATGGAGTATGAAGGATGAGAAGGCAGATTACAGCAAGTATGTCATTGGGAACCATGAAAAGGGCTGTTTCAGTGCTTTGGCAGATTGGAAACCTAATTGGAGGGGTTCACAAATGGAATCGGAGAGAGATGAGCATGGATTTTTCACAGGCAATCACATGCTCAAGTACTTAAGGCGACAAAGGGACTGGATTTGAGAGCAAGAAAGGTTGTATTGATTTTTTTTTTAAAAGAAAGAAAACTAGGTGACATTGACAAATTAAAAAGGGTTCTGTACCCCAACAAAGGGAGCCACTCATGATATCACCCAGCTATCCAGGAAAAGAAGGAATTTTCAAATAATTTGAAGCAGCAGGGCCTCACAAACCATGTATAACTTATTTATAGTTGTACCAGAATGGGAGCACACCACTGCTCACCTTTGAACAGTTGCACTGAATCTTTCATGCCTAACTGAAGGACAGATGCAAGTGTTGGTTAACACCTTGTCCAAAAGATGACACCTCCGATAATGTGGCTCTCTATTAGTGCTAAACTGGAGTGTTAGCCTAGTATATACTTATAGAACCCAAATACCATAGAGGCACCTGTCCAGCAAATAGGAGGAGAATAATTATATTTATTTAAAAATTTAATATGTGTTTTTAAGTTCATATATCTTTAGTTCTAATTTCAGCTTATGAATTTGGGTTGCACACTTGATGTCATCAAAACATTATTAATGCTATTTTTAAATATTCAATATTGGGGAATAAAATCTAAATTGTAAGCCTACAAGTTGCGTCTGAGTGTTGGTGGAATTTCAGTTTACTGATTTATTAGCTTGCTATTTCTGTTATATATTAATAAGGTATGAATGTGGGAACTGGCACTGTCTTTAAATGTTATTTCTTCAACTCCTCATCATATGTTGAGGATTTCACTTCCATTAAAATTAGAAAGCTAGTTACTGTGTAGGCAAACTAAACAGGCATTTTGATGGATTTCCACATTGCAGACAAAAGTCTAAAAGATAACTTGGATAGATCAAGGTCATGACCCCCACTAACTTCTGGTCAGATAAATAATTACTCTTCCAATCTCAGTTAACTTACATTTATATGTATTGAAACACATCAGCCTTTCTTTTGTCTGTTTCTTTAATTTATCAGTGTCACTCTAAATGATATACATCTTGCACATGCTGGATCTATATAATGTTATGAACAACTATATAAATTCTTTATTTTTATACATTCTTGTCATCTAGTAGTTGAAGTGCTTAAGCACAAAAGCCTAAAACAAATTCAAATCATTTGGCTGTCTACTATTCTCATAAATTAGTTGCAGCCTACTGATTAGAAGAATTAAGGGGAAAAGGAAGAAAAAGACACTTCTGTTCTGAAAAAGGATGGTAATATAATACAAGTCTTACTAAATCCAGTCGACAAAATTACAAATCAGGAGAACACCTTTGTTACAATCTAAGTTTTTAGATGCAAAGGGGAAGATGAACAGGGAGGATTTTGTCTGGAACGTTTTAGTGAAAAATACATTTCTCTTCAAATCTAAAATGACAAAAATATTTATGAGTTATGCATGATCATTATGCAAGCTTACCTGGAGAAGGGCTATGAAAAGGAAAAATGAGTTGGCTGCTCTCCTGAACTGAGAATATAGGAATCTTGGTAAGAATGTAAGTGGATTGTATTTTGCAGTGCTAAAAAGAAACAAGACAGAACAAAAAGTTTACAGATTTTAGGCCAATATCTAGTAATTACAATCAATTGTGTGTGTGTGTGTATGTGCGCATATATATATATCCACATACATTTACATGGGAACATTTGCATCATCATAAGCTTTATTTGCATTAAGATGCAACATAACATACCAATTATAAAATCATTTATTTGTAGGAGAGAGTATGTAAATATGAGCTACAAGAGGATAGAGAATGAGCAAATGTTATTTTACCGTTATTTTCAATGGCAGAATTATTGAATTAATCCGCAAGTCACTTCAGTCAATAATAGTCAAGCTTCAGGTCATAATCTGATGAGTCATAAAATATAGTGCACTAATCCTAGCTATTTTAATAATTCATTAACTGCACCTGCTCTATGGAATATTTTTCACACTTCATTATGCAGTATGTACCTGAATACATTAAATTCAAATTGTTCTCATCCATAGTTCACACAATTATTTGAGCAACAAGTTGGTAGTATAAACAGATTGCTGCCACTTCACAATTATTATAGCTGAAATTAGACAATATTACAACAGGCACAACATTTCATCTTGAGCTTTCTGCCAGATAGTCATCTTCTTTGGATCTGATTAGGTTCCAAATTCAAACCAGTGATATTAGATTAAACAGGATAAGACATGTTCCATGATGAACTGGTCAGATTGAAGTTCTTGCAATCCTGCCATAGGCAGTCATGAAAGATGGTGGTCGACTAAATGACTCAATGGAGAGAAAGGCTTTCAAATATCCTCATTCTCATTAATGAGGGAACCCAGCACTATAGTGCGAAAGACAATATTGAAGCATCTGCAACACTACTGGCAATTTAGCATGGACAATTCACCTAACCTGCATATCTATCTTCGAACTATGGGAGGAAATCGGAGCACCTGGAGCAAAACCACACAGACATGGAGATGATGTGCAAACTCCATACAGACAGTCACCTGAGATGGAATTGAACCCAGCTCCCTGGCGCTTGAGGCAATAGTGCTAACAACTGAGCTTTTGTACCACCCACAATGTGGTTTCCTCTACACTGGGGAGATAAAACGCAGCCTGGGTGGCCTCTTTACATGTTCTGTCCATAAAAATAACCGAGCTTCTGGTTGCCTGCCACTTCAACACACCATCCTCTTGCCTGGCCAACATCTGTCTCAGGCTTGCTGCAGTGCTCCAGCAAAGCTCAGCACAAGCTGGAAGAACAGCATCTCATTTTTTGCTTGGGGACTATACAGCCTTCAGGACTCCATATCAAGTTCAATAATTTTAGGGCCTCAACACCTCCTTTCATGTCCTTTATCCACCTCACACTCCAGGCCCTGTCATCACATGGGCTGCTTTCAACACAGCCATTTTATTTTCAACTACTCATTGTCCTCAGTAAGTCAGGGAAGGAGAAAAGCTATCAACAATGCCTTTGTCTGCCTAAATTTCTTTCTGTCACTGTGCTCTCGGTCTTCACCTATCTGCTCATTCCTTCTCCTGCCTATCCCTTGTCATCAGCGTAAATACCACTTTGAGTCATGTAAATACAGTGGCTATAAGAGCAGGTAGGAAGGTAGAAGTTCTGCTGCAACTAATCCCCTTCATGGCTCCTCAAAGCCTGTCTACTGTCATCAAGTTGTTTGATGGACTACTTGCCATTGGCTTGGATAAGTGTAATTCCAACAGCACAAAAAAAAGTTGACACAGCTCAGTACAGAGCAGCCAGTTTGATTGGCATCCTATCTAAAACCTTCAATATTCACTCCATTCACCACTGATGCATGGTGGTTGCAGTGTGTACCATTTACAAGATACGCTGCAACAACTCAGCTTCCACGCCTGCAAGCTCTACTATCTAAACAAACAAGGTTGCAGGTGCATGAGAACACTGCCACCTACAAGCCCCACACCATGCCAACTTGAACTATACTGTCAATCTTTCACTGTCACAGAGTCAAAATCACAAACAGTAAGTGATGCTCACATCCCAGAATGAATCAAAAATGAAGTAGCCTAGCTGAACTACTAAGCTTCTTCCCTCCCAGATGAGGTAGTGAAATAGATACTTCTCCACCTAGTTTTGAATTAAATTATTATTACCGTAACTACTTGTGGACACGATGAATCCCAAGAACAATTTTAGTCTTGTTGCATATCAAAAATAGCTAACCTACAATTAGCATTGCAAGTTTCCCAAATCAAATATTAATGATATTGTGGTTTCTCAATTTGTAAAAATTACTGCTAATTAATACCAACATAGATAAGGCCTGCATTTATTGCTCTTCCTTCAGTAGCATAAAAAGGTTAAAAGCCATCTTGAACGCATCTAAGCTGTCATGTGGTGAAGCAACAAACTATGACCAGTATTATTGGCAGTTTCTTCCTTTAAAATTGCACCGTGCAAAACAAATGGCCAGAAATAATATGGGGCCAGAAATAATATGGGATCCCTGCAAATTGATAACAGTGGTACTGTAAATTTAAGCAAAGAAATGACAAACATATAGAATTACTTTGCATCAATAATAACAATAGGAGAAAGTTTCACTTGCCAGACCTTCCAAGGGTAATAATAATGAATGAGGCAGGAACTGATCAAAGTACTTTTAAGCAGATAAAGTAATGAAGGAATGAATGGCAAAAAGTGAAATCCCCAGGTCCAGACTGTTTCCAATTTAGTAGAAGTAGGTGTGAATACTTCAAATTTCTGACCTAACTTCATTGCCTTCCAAAATTCTCTCCGCTCAGGACTATTACTTTAGTTTGAAAAATTGCATGTCACTATAAGAAACGGAAGAAGGGGCAAACTAGGGCTATCCTTAGGTGCTCTATGTGGTAGTGAGCTGCTTTCTTGAACTGTTGCATGCAATTTGGTGAAGACAACGTTGTTAAGGAAGGAATTCCAGGACTTTGAGCGACACCAATATAGCTCTAAGTCAAGATGGCATGGGGCATGGAGCAGAACTTGCGGGTGGTGGTGTTCCCACATTTCAGCTGCCCTTGCTGTAATTAGGCCAGCTCTTTCTTCTAGATTTTTATTGAATTCAAAATTTGACAATCTGCCACGGTGGGATTCAAACCCATTTTTCCAAAAAGTAGGGTCCTTATTGCTAGCCCAGTGAGATTATCACTATATCCCTGCCTTCCCTTGCACAAGGGCATGTCTATAGATCTTACTGACTAAGTGCCTTCTGGAATTTCATACAAAAGTCCTAATAAGAGATTGGTAGCTATTGTTTAAGCTTAAGGAATGGAAGACAAATTCCTAACCTGGTTAGATTACTTACTTGGGCAAATACTTCAATTGGCAGAATGCGATGAGTGGTGTGCTAAAAGAGTCTGTGCTGGAGCCTTAAATATTCAGGGTATTTGTGAATACCATGGATGTTGGGGTAGACAATTATATATTGCAAGTGACACAAGGTAGCATTTTAAGCGACGTAGATTAAAACATATAATTTAAGATCAAAAGTAATAGATAAAATAAATGGACGTTCTAAAATCTGTTTTTCACAGTTACAAGTGTGAAGGTGTTCCAACTGGGCGCTAAATGGACGGAGGGCTTTCTAAATAGTGAAAAGCTATACATAGTAAAAAGATAGCAATAGCAGAAACACAAAGAGAACCTTTGAAGGGGAGTGGGACTAATTGACTAGTCCTCCTAAATATGGTCAGATAGTTTCTATCTCCACCACAATTTCTTTTAAAAAAATTCTCATGCATCCATTTTCTCCCTCAATAATTTCTTCTTCTACATTATCAATTGATCAGTTATTAAAAACTTTGGTAGATCTCTGTGGCGACTCATGCCCAAAAATATGGTGCTGGTGTTTGTGCCATTTTCCTGGAGCTGTATGACAAAGTTATGACAGACAAGTGAAGTGTCCACACAGAAATTCCCAATTTCAGTGTTCCACTTCTCAATGAGAAAGAAAAGGCATTAAACGTATTTTCAACTTGCATTATGTTTCAACTCATACATAGACCATCATTATCTTGTGCAAAATACATACATTTTCACTCGTATTAATTGTTATTTATAAACAACATTAGTAGCTAACTGTGGACACGGAAATCTTTACCTAAATGGGATAATGCAATCAATATGACACTTCACATAATATAACACGTGAAGGACAAATGAATGCTCAGATGCAATCTAGAGGGGAGAAAATCAAAAAGTCACAGACATTCAACAAAAATTTAATTAAGATTATTCTTACCTGACATGATTGCTACAAAATTTTATTAGTTGAGGTCTGTTAATAAATATACTTCTCATGTCCTCTTGATCAGCCAGTGAAGTTTTTTCTGAGGCATCCTCAGTTTTCTCATAACCTATTAAAAGAACAAATCAGGTTTAAATGACAAAGGAGGAGGAAAGGAATTTGATCCTAACCAAATCCCAATAACTCAGTGCACTAATTGGGTAAAACCACTTTTCAAAGTGCAAACTTTTCCAATAAGTTTCAGCATGTATACTGCAAATTTGTTTTCTTTTAAAATCTTTTCCACATTTAACCTAGAATGCTCAATTTTGGCCTAAGGCATGAATAAGGTGTAAGAGGTAATATGTTCTGTATTTTTAAAAACAAATGGAAGATTCGATGACACAAATACAGAATTTGCATGCCATGAGAATAGCTAGAGGTTCAATAAATGTAGTTTCCTTCAGGACATTGGACATGTGGAAAAATTCACAGATAAAGCTAATTTGGAGTTAATTAGCAGTATCAAAACAAAAAAGAAACTGAATCAATTCAGATGGTGACACATGGAAGGAGTGTAGTGATAGGGAACTAAGTCATCATTCCCTGAAAGTGGTTCATGGTACAAAGAGATATTCAACATGGCACTCTTGATGCAGCAGGTTCTCAAGTCGAATGGCCTTCCACACTCAATTTTCATAACATTCTTTAAAAATTTTATTACCTAGATACTCGTTTTGATACAGGATAGGATAGGCTATGCTCATCATGAAGGGTCATATATCTGACATGTCAACTATTTCTCTCCATAGATACCAGTCCAGCTGAGTATTCCCAACATCTGTGTTTCTTAATAAAAACCGAAAGAACCGAGGGTGCTGGAAATCAGAAACATAAATAGAATTGCTGGAAATGCTCAGCAGGACTGGCAGCATCTGTGGAGAGAAAGCAGAGTTAACATTTTGGGTCCAGAAACTCTTTCTCAGAACTGATGGTCGCTAGGAAAAAGTATTTTTCTCATGCAGAAGATAGGTGGGGGAGGGGCTAAGGAGTAAATAATATGCAGAAATCCAGCCCAAGGATAGAGAAGAACAGTTGGACACACAAAGGAGTGAATAGCAATTAGCCTAGGAGAATGAATAGCTACTAATGGGGACTATTCATGGCTAACAATGGGTTGTGGGTAATAGCAGACCGTGTGATAACAAGGCCTGGTGCAGGGATTTGGGGTAAAGACATGGGAGAAGGTGCCTCATGCCCTAAAATTACTCAACTCGATAGTGAGTCAGAGAGCTGTAGAGTTCCCAAGTGGAAAATGAGGTGCTGTTCTTCCAGCTTGCGTTGAGCTTTACTGGAGAACTGCAGCAAGCCTGAGAAGGTGGTGCGTTCAAGAGGCAGGCAACTAGAAGCTCAAGGTCTTTTTTTGCAGACAGAATGTAAGTGTTCTGCGAAGCAGTCACCCAGTCTATGCTTCATTGCCCCTGTGTAAAGGAGACCACATTGTGAGCAGCAAATGCAGTAGACTAGATTGTGTGAAGTGCTTCACCTGGAAGGTGTGTTTGGGCCCTTGGATACTGAGGAGGGAGGAAGTAAATGGGCAGGTGTTACACTTTCTGCAATTGCAGGTGTAGGTGCCATGGGGGTGTGGGAGGGCGTTGGGAGTGAAGGAGGAGTGACCAGGGTGTCCCAGAGGGAATGTCCTTGCAGAAGGCTGACAAGGGAGGGCAGGGGAATGTGTCCGATAGCGACATTCCTAATTGCCCTCATTAGTAGCTATTCACTCTCGTAGGTCAATTGTTATCCACACCGTTGTCTGTCCAATTTCTCTCTTCAGGCTCCACCACCACCTCGTGTTTACTCCTTGTCCCCTCCACCCACCCTATCTTCTGAATAAAAAACAACCTTTTTTCTAGCTACCATTAGTTCTGAAGAGGGGTCACTGGAACCAAAATGTTATCTCTGATTTCTCTCCACAGATGCTGGCAGACCTGCTGACATTGTCCAGCAATTTCTGTTTTTGTTTCTGCTTTTCTTACCCATCATTGCAGCATTTGTGGTATTTTAAATTTTGTATCAGTAAGCCATTAAGCGTGAACTTTAATTTCCAATCGTTTAATATTCCTGATATTTCTGATCACAGACCCAACTGCCAGAAAAGTCATCATTTCTGATGCTTCTAATTCGAATATTTAATCTCAAACAGAGGTCAATTAAATTCATTAAGTTGTCTGTGTTTGTGAAAATCAAAAGCTGAAAGTTAGTGTTAACTGAGCAGCATGCAGTTCTAAACTAAAAGAAATATCTAGATTTAAATTATACAGATAAATATTTGTATTAGAACAAGCGTCATGATTAAAGCAATACACACTAAATACATTTTAAAGTGAATTTTGTTAAACCAGATGTTACTTGTGCCTTAAGATGCAGATTTGTTTTAAAGTAAAACATACAATTATGCATACCAAGGCTCAAAACTGAAACAGAAACAAAGTGGTTGTTCCTATTGAGAAAAACACAATGAAAAGCAGAAAAGTGAGTGTATAATTTCACACAGTGCACAACAGCCAAGTAAATATGTTTTTAGACGGATCACACCAGTTCCTATTGGTTTTCAAACAAGCTGGTCCTTCATTGTGTGCTTAACCGTAAGACCTTAAGATAAAGGAGCAAAAATAGGCCATTCAGCCCATTGAATGGAGGAACAGATCCAATGAGATCAGGAATGATATGGTAATTCTTAACTCCACTTCGCTGTCTTTTCTCTATAACCCCGCTGGATTCCCCAGCTAATTAAAAATCAGACTACCTCAGGCTTGAATATACGTAATGACCCAGGCTGAACAGCCCTTTGTGGTGAAGATTTCCACAGATTCACTACCTTCAGAAAAGAAATTCTATTCTAAACATGGCCTTGTGTCGAATCAACTCCTATAGTCAATGCACTGACCAATCCAAAGGGTCTGTTTTTATGCTGTATAACTCTATGACTCAATGAAAGCAAGCATGACAAATTACTTATTAATCTAGAATCCACTGATCATTCTATTGTGCTGAGCATTGTTCTGCTGCTGTAATATGTTACAAATTGGTGTTGTACTCTAATCACTGCTGCAGTACTGGCTGCCCTCTGGCACTGCTCTGCATAATATTTTCCACCTTCCAACACCGAATGTAATCTCTCCAAAGCAAATGCTGGCATGTGGTACTAGATTAATTTAGGATATCTGGTCAGCATGGACAAATTGGACCAAAGGGTCTGCTTCCATCCTGTACATCTCTCTGATTCTATAAATTCCTCCTCATCTCTATCTTAACGTGCTTCCACTTGTCCTGAGACTTCCCCACAGTGGAAACACCTTTTCACATATACTCTGTCAAATCCCCTACGAATCTTGCATGTTTCAATAACGTTGCCTCTCATTCTCCTAAATTCTACTGAGTACAGGCTAAAGTACTGTCCTCCTATGAGATAGCACATCCATAACTGGCATCAGTTTAGTGAGCCATCTCTGGACTACCACCAATGCTAGTATATCTTTCCTTAGATAAGGGCCCCAAATCTGTTCACCGTATTCCAACTGTGGTCGACCGAGTGTCTTGTATAGTTTTTAGCAAAATCTGCCTAATTTTATAAAAACAAACTATACTATGGGATGCTGAAAATCTAAAACAAAGGGAAATCTGGAGAAACTCAGCAGGTCTGGCAGTATTTGTGGAGAGAAATAAAAAGTTATGTTTTAGCTCTGATATGACTCTTCTTCAGAACTTGTATGGAGTGGACTTCTTGTTTAAGCTATAGCTTTTCATTTTCTCTTATTCTTAACCTATTAAAATAGTGCCAGATTGTGGTGACAAATGAAAGCTTTTCACGTATTCTATTGGACTTCACTATCAAATACGCATGACAATAAGTCATTCACTCAACTTTCAGACTCCATTCCCTTTGAAATAAGGACCAACATTCCATTTGCTTTCCGTGTCACTCATTGAACTTAAATGCTAGCCTTCTGGTGATTCATGAATGAGGATGAGGTTTTCCCCATTTAAATGATTTTCATCTCCTCTATACTTCTTACCAAAGAATAACATTCTCCATACCATTCAAAATAACTACAATTGTGACATTTTCAATTGCAGTTCACTTTATTGTGACCCTGATTAGATTGTATAACAGATTTTATGATATCTTCTAAAAAGGAAGTAACCAACTTAAACAGGTGACTCATTCCGTCTGAGAAACAAAGTTTTGTTTTTGGGACAAATGGCCCAACTCTAATTTTGTACATTTCCTTACAGCCCATTTAGGAGTGACACTGATATTTGACCTAAATTGGTCTGTCTCTTAGGAGAAATGTTTCCTAGTTTTACCCTTGTTTCATTTATAGATTTTGTTCATTTGAAACATATACTCTTTAATCATCATTTGCACAAAAAATTTCACATCCCCACAAAGTCATCATATGCCTAATTTAGTTACCATTGTTTCCATCATGGGAATGCCTTCCTTTCCGTGTTTGAAAGTCTATCCTTTTCAGAATGGTTTAACAATTATGGCTTGGAACCCTAATATAAAGTATTTTGTAATTAAGTTACCAAGAAATAAGTAGGGGAAAGAGAGAGAATCAGTCCACTACCCCTACGTCTTATTTACCAAAGTAGCATTATTGGTTCAATTAAGGGTTTTACACATTTAATTTTCAAGTTTTGGGCCATTTAGACCCAACCCACTCCCTGAAAATAATTACGTCACAGATAAATTCTGTCATTACACCTTATTACTCAGCCGTTGCTGTCTGCTGCATTGCCCACTTTGCTCTGTTTAATAATTCTGTTAATAATTATGTTCAAAGCCTTGAATAAATTCCAATACACTCATCTACTTTTTTCTTCATTGAGTAAGGATGTACTAAGCTACACTACAGTGTAAGCTTGCAATAAATATTCATCTTTCTGGAGGTTTGTTTTATATGAGCACTCTCCAATTTTAAAATCACAGCGACAGTCAGGAAGCCTAGATCCACCTACAATTGACAGCATTTTAATTGTATGGTATGGCAGAACAACATTAACCAGTTTCAAATTATAGCAACTTGATGTTATGTTTTATTTCTATGAACATATGGTGAGATCAAGATAACAACATTGCTAAAATGTAAAAGATAAAAGTAAAAGACAAAGAAAAGCTCCATTCTTTGATCTCCCTTGCTTTTGACTAATCTGCTAAGTGGTTGCAAAATGGATGAAAACCTTCAACTCAAATTTAGTTTAGTTTACGTTAGTACTGCACTGAAACAAGATGAACATAACTCCCAGTAGGCATCCATCATTGAATCAACTTTATTTAAATCTGTCTAGAGGGGGCAAGATAATAAATTGCTTAGATCCACCATTTGCCTACCCCACGTTAAAATATTTGCGTGAAATGTCACCAGCATATCACTTCCCAGTATAAAATGACTAAATCAACCTCAACAACGACAATTTAACAGGTTGACTTGCATACTTGTTTTAACTGTATTTTAAACCAAAATGTACTACCCGAGAGACTGAATGTATCCTGAAGAATGTGTCAGGAGAGTAGGGAAATTCCAACACATGGACCACATGGAAATTGCCAATGGAGTTGAAACTTCCAATGAGCAATTAGCCAGTGTCTGGTATCTTTCAGAAAGTCCTCAACTGCAAATTAGAGTCAGAAACTTCATATGGTTTTGACAGACTTGCTTTAACAGTTAAATTGGAAATATTTGAGGAATTAAAGCTTTCAGTAACTACTGACTGTTTATGAACTTGATACCCAATCACTCATACTGATCACTAATTCAGCCACTGAACCCCGTCCCCAATCTCCACGCATATACAGTTGGTCCTGGATGGTGTCAACCTTTGAGTATTGCTGGAGCTGCACTCATCCAGACAAGGAGTATTCCAAAAAAAAACCAAAAGAACTGCGGATGTAAATCAGGAACAAAAACAGAAGTTGCTGGAAAAGCTCAGCAAGTCTGGCAGCATCTGTGAAGAAAAGAAATCAGAGTTAACGTTTCGGGTCTGGTGACCCTTCCTCAGAAATGTTAGAATGTTGCTCAGACCCGAAACATTAACTCTGATTTTTTCTTCAGGGAGCATTCCATCACACTCCTGCTTCATGCCTTAAAAATGGACATGCTTTGGGGAGTCAGGAAGTGATGAATTTGCTGTGAGATTCCTAACCTCTCACTGCTCTTATGGATACAGTTTTTAAATGGATAGCACAGTTTAATTTCTGGCTGATGGCAACCCCAGGATGTTAATTGTGGGCAATTCAGGTGATTGTAATGTCATTGAGTTGGTTAAAGAGGCAATGGTTAGATTTTCCTTTGTTGGAGATGGTCATTACCTGGTGTCTGTGTGGCATACATCTGGAATTTTTAAAAATTCATTCAGGAGATATGGCCATCACTGTCTAGCATTTATTGCCCACCCTAAATTGTCAAAAGGGCAGTCAACTACATTGCTGAGAGTTGGGACTCATATAGCCAGACCAGGTAAGGATGGCAGACTTCCTTCCCTAAAAGACATTAGTGAACCAGATGATTCTTCTGACAATCAACAACAGTTTCACTGTCAACATCAGACCCTTAATTCTGGATTTTTATGAATTTAAAATTCACCATCTGCCATGATGGGGTTCAAACCCAGATCTCCAGAATATTAGCTGGATCTCTGAATTAATAGTTCAGTGATAATACTGAGGCCATTGCCTCTCCCCATCTAGATCTTTCTACATTTGGACATAGCTTGCTTCAGTATCTGAGGAGTCATAATGATGCTGAGCATTGTGCAATCATCGCCAAATATCCCCACATTTGACCTTACGAATTTGTGAAAATCATTAGATGAAGCAGCTGAAGATGTTCGGGCTTCCAATATCTGCCATTATGTGGTCCTCATAATTGTAATCCTCATGTGTAAGTGAAATGCATCATACTTCAACACATTCTACAATTGAAGATGCTATAAGTATGAATTGGTGACAATTAACTTGAGGAATGCAAGCTAAA